ATCAGCCAGGCTGGAGTACCCAGATCTTTACTTTTAGCATTTCCGAGCTCCCTGCAGCTCCAGGGAATAGGCAGACAACTCGGCAAGGAATGGACACCTATTCACCAAAACACAGAGAAGGAGGAGCTGCAAGAACTTCAGAAACCACAGCTCAACCTGCTGGTTTTCTAGAAGAGGATCCTGAGCTCACCCCGGACATGCAGCACCTTGTCCACTTGTTCTTACTTGTAGGAGAATGATCTGCAGATGCACTGATTCCTTCCAACCATCTCACATTTCACAGAGACCAGAACTTAGGAAGAACAAAGTAGGGAAAAAAAGAAAGTCCATCTGCTCTATTATTTATGTGTCAATTTACTTCAGCCTGGACTATGTGCCCAGCCCAGCGCTAGGCACCGAGATTATATGGTAGTGAATAAGAAACTGCAGAATCTCTTTCCTCATGGAGCTTTTATCTAGTGGAGAAGACGTAATTTTTAAAAATTCACACAGAAGTAAACTGATATATGTGTTGGGTTCTACAGAGCAGAGGCTATGGGACAATTGAATAGGGGGGATCTGACCTAGTCTGAGGACCCCCAGAGGAATTGTGCTGCTACTGAAAGGTGAGCAGACATTTACCCACAAGAGGGGATTGGGTTGGTTTGGGGGTTGGTCCAGGCAGAAGGGCCACCATAATCCAGAAACATTTTCGTGCAGAAAGCAAGGACTGGCAGGAGTATGGGACTGCAGTACGAAGCCGGTGCAGTGCACTATGCCTGTAATCACAGTTGCTCAGGAGCTGAGCAAGAGGTTAAGGCAGAAGGATTGTAAATTCAAGCCCAGCCTGGGCAACATATAGAGACCTTATTTCTTAAAAAATAAAATAAAATAAAATAAAATAAAATAAAATAAAATAAAATAAAAGGGGGGATTCTATAAGGGAAGGAGCAATAGACAGGACTTGGATGGACTCATGACAGAATCAGACAGAGCCCCTTAAGAGCAATAAAGAGGCTGGCAGGTAGCGGGATTGAGGTGCTGGAATACCACATGGTCGACCCCAGTTCAAGTCCTGGACCTGGTAGCTTACTTTCTCACTTTCATTTTTTCTCTCTGGTCAAATTAAAAAATAATAATAATAAAATTAAATAAACAATTCTTAGGGTAACAGGTGACATAGTGGTGGAGGCACTGGACTCCCAGAGAGCTGATGTGGTTTAAGTCCCAGACCTGGTGGCTTGCTTTTTCACTTTCCCTCTCTCTTTCTCTCGTGTCTCTCTCTGGTCAATTTTTTTTTTTAAATGAGCAAATAAGTGAAATTAAATAAATATAATTTTTTTTTAAAAAGGCAGTATGAGTATAGTAAATGTGACAGATTCTAAATAAACAAACAATTCTTTAAAAAAAAAAAAAAGAGGGACCAGCAGTTGGTGTAATGGCTATGTCACTGGACTCCCATGTATTCAACCGCAGTTTGAGTCTCAGACTTAGTGGCTTAAACTCACGCCGGGCAGTTGTGCATGCGTGCCCAAGATCCTGAGAGGATAATGGAGGAGAAGGGACTGGCATGGCCATCCCCACTGGGGGGTGATTTCTCACTTTCTGTCTCTCTGTCTTTCTGGTGAGCGTATATGCCTTATAGCAAAAACCTCTCAAAAAAGAAAAAAAAAAGGGGGGGGCAATAGAAACTCAAAACCAGCATGATGGTTGGGGTGTTGATTCCCTCATGACTGACCATGTTTTGAGTCTCAGATCTGGCAGCTTGCTTTCTCGCTTTCCTTCTCTCTCTCTGGTCAAATTAAAAAATAATGATAATAAATAAAATTAAATATACAATTTATTAAAAAGGAAAGAAAGAAACTCAGAAGTTCTAGGTGGAGGTGGAGAGGGGTCCAGCCATGACCAGATCTGCACCTGAAATGCTGCGAGGTGGAGATGGTGTAGAGGAGGGCTAGGTAGATCCAAGACCAGTCAGGAGCTACTGTGGTCTAAGCACAAAATAATGTGGCTTAGGCCAGGGAGGGGCCATGGAGTAATGACACACAGGTGGATTTGAAATACCCTCCAATGGGGCTTGGTCATCTCACAATCTCTCCTCCTCCATTTATGCACCACGTCAGAATTTTGGACATGCACACACATGTGCCTCGTGTGTTTCCCAAGTTGCCAGGGCAAGATTCAGACTGTGTAGTTGGCCACATGGGATTCAGTTCCCTTAACCACCAGGCCATGGGGCTGATCCCCAAATCCCAAAGGGATTTGAAACCAACAAAATCCCCCTCTCCACCAAAAATCTTACCTTTGGAAAACAGGAAAATACAGATGGCTTCCAATAACAGCAAAAAGGGCATGTTGATATAACTACAGGGCCAGGAGAAGAAATAAAGCATCCACAGTTAGTTTTATGAGCACCCCAAATCACACCACCCAACAAGATGACAATTGCTCAGCCTTTTCCAGGTCACTAATTTGACTCTGGAGGTCTCTCCTCATCACAATAACTACATCAGCCTAGAGGAGACACAAATTCACAAAAAAGTCACAAAAGACTTTACTCTAAGGACTTTTGATTTCTCCTTCTTCTTCCCTTCTCCTCCTCCTCCTCCTCTTCCTCCTTCTTCTTCTTCTTGTTTTGAGAGATTTTTTCTATAGGGTGTATGTTTGACAGAGACACAGAGACAGAAAGTGAGAAATCACCCCCAGAGGGAAGGGCCACACTGCAATCTTCCACTATCTTCTCCTCCATTCTCTTCTTGGGATTTTGGGCATGCATGCACAAGTACCTGGTGTAAGTTTCGAGCCACAAGTCTGGGACTTGAACCTCAGTCAACCATGTGGGAGTCCAGCACCTTAACCACTATGACACTGGCTGATCCCAAGGACTTTGATTTTTAAACAACAAACTAACATCCCCAGAATACCACTCCCACCCCCAAACCTACCCCAGCTCCTGCAAAGACTCTGGGAAGGTGTGCTTTATCCAGAGGAAGAGCAACTGGGTCTCAGCTCTGCCCAGTCCTGACTAGCCTCCTGACCTCTGCAAAGTGGCACCATCTTGGGGCCTCTATTTCTTGAGGAGTTAAAAACTGACAAGTTGAAGATTTGAGTTTTGATGTCCTTATTTTCTAAAACCTTCTAGAAAGTCACCCAACTTGTCCCTAGCTAAGAAGATGGCATCCAAAGACAGCCTGTGCTTTATAAATTATTTATAAACAGTAAGCTGGCTAAACGAAAAATGGAAGTTTTTTTTTTTTTAAATCTTTATGGTCTAATAATGGTTCTATTATGAGTAAAATTCAGCACTGTGGGGCCTAATTATTTATCAATTGCTGAAGGCAGAAAGTGAATGCTTTTAGGAAGAACTAATACAGACTAGCCCTACGGCTCAGCAGTTAGGCACTGTGCAGAGGAGGCCTGATCCCACATGGCCAACTGGAGTTCAAGTCCTGGCCTTGGTGGCTTACATACTAAGTGTGTGCACCTGTGTCAGGGATCCTGAAGGGACAGAGAATTGGAGGAGAAAGCATTTTATTGGATCATTGAAAAAATCATGATGCATTTTTGCATAGAAAATTATGTCATGACTTTTCTGATAACCCAAAAGCTTGACCAGGTCCCTCTGGAGGGTCCTCCTCTCTTTCTCATCTTCTTCTCTCTCTTCCTCTCTCCCTCTCTGTCTCTCCTACATGTGACTCACCCTCTGGCTTAATAATTGAAAAACATAATAATTTAATTCTGATGACATCAGGGCACATACTGAATTTTACTTCTAGTTTTCGCTGTGAGACTCAGGAAATGGTGTCATCACCATGTCGATCGCAGACATACTGCCCAGTTCAGATGGTTTCATGTGTAAGCAAGTGTCCACAGAGCACAGGAACAGGAAGAGGTCATACAGCATGAAATTCAGACTTTTCCCCTTAGTAAGATGGAGTGGGAAAAAGCTAAAAATGTCATGACAATAGGTTCTAGAAATTCTATTTTTCGCCCTTTAGGAGTCAATACATTCAAGATCATCCTACAGTTTCTCTGCCTTAAACTTGCCCATGAAGAAAAGACTTGGGGAGAGCAAAGCAATGCTACATGCAGGTCTTACTAAATTTTCCGTCCATTCAACAAACACCAACACTCACTCAAGAGCTGATCCCAGAGAGAAAACCCCAGAGCAAAGACATCAAAAGGGATTCTTGAGACCAGGGCAGAAAGAGAAGTGGACAGTCAGTACAGGTGCTGTCATGGGGTACAGCCTCTGGGCAAACTCACCTCAGCCTAAGGCACCTGCATCTGCAAAGCCCTTTCATGTTCTAAACAAAGGCCATTCTCCTCCATCTGAGAACATGGATAACAAGGCAGGCTGGGCCTATGGATCTCCCTACTTCCACTATGGGGGGTGCCAGTTCTCCAAAACACATGGCACACACTTGCTGGTCACCTCTGGCATTTCACAAGTGCCTGTAACCCAGCGGGCGTAGAAGCGGACTCTCAACCCGTCTGAAGTGCTCTCCCACCTCTGCACTTGTCTTGGCTACAGGACTCGCAATCCAAATTCGGAGGACCTACTGAACTACGCAATCAAAGCTACACAAGAAATGCTGCTTCCTTTGATTTGCAGGAAAGCTGACTATACGGTGGGGTGGGGCTCTGCTAACTGCCTGGGTTCAAGCCCACCCTGAGGAGAAGAGAGGGAGGACCCTTAGGGCCTTAGGGTGGTGGGCTGTACAGCACCCTGGAGACGGACAGAAGAGGTCACTGTGGCTCACGAGTGGAGCGGCCTGGGTGGTCCCCCAGTCCAGGTCTCCAGCTGCTAGTCCATGGCTGTCCTCTAACCACGGGCACTTGTGCCCCCACTCAGCGCACACCCTCACTGAGACGGCACAGCAGTCATTGACTACCCGACAGGAGTGTGACTTCGTATCCAGGCAGGGGCCACACCTGCCCCACAGTGGCAGAGGTCCTGCACCATGAATACAGGGACCCCACTTTTCATCCTGAGAGCCCTGAGAGAGGCCATGCTTCCTCACCGACTGATCAAGAAGGTTGGATCAGATGCTGCTAAGATGTCTTCTGGCTTTAAAAACCCCATGGCCCCTCCCCTGCCACGACCCCCTGCCTCACACCATCATGGACCGATAATGGTCAGCCCTCACTCTACTGGATTTCAAAGCACTTCTGAAAGAAACAAAGTCAGACATTCATTTTTTTTTTTTTTTTTTTGGAGAGATTTTCACTGTAGGGCGCGGGCGCTCGCCAGACAGAGAGAGACATAGAGACAGAAGGTGAGAAATCACCCCCCAGGGGGGATGGTCACGCCTCACACCATCATGGACCGATAATGGTCAGCCCTCACTCTACTGGATTTCAAAGCACTTCTGAAAGAAACAAAGTCAGACATTCATTTTTTTTTTTTTTTTTTTGGAGAGATTTTCACTGTAGGGCGCGGGCGCTCGCCAGACAGAGAGAGACATAGAGACAGAAGGTGAGAAATCACCCCCCAGGGGGGATGGTCACGCCGCAATCCCTTCTCCTCCATTCTCCTCTCGGGATCTTGGGCACGCACGCACATGCGCCCGGCGTGAGTTTTAAGCCACCGGGTCCGGGACACGAACCGCGGTCGGCTACGTGGGAGTCCAGCGACATAGCCATTACGCTAACTGCTGGTTCCCAAAGTCAGACATTCTGACCAGCTGAAAAGTTTTGTGGAGGAGCTTCCTGCTTCAAGGGACCTGGCAGCTCAAGTCTTCACCGAATGGAAGTGAAAATCGGAAATCCACTATTTGCAAGAGCAAGGATGGCAGCAGCTCCCCAGACGTGATCAGAGGGACAAAGGTGACCGGCAGGACACAGGCCTGCAGAGCAGCTCGCAGACTTCCTGCTAGCTTCCAGCCCCGGATCCCGCCGGCAAGACAGACCCAGACTCCTGCCTGCCTTTTCCCCAAGGGCACGTGTTCCTTCCTCTTACTCCACACAACAGACACAGGACAAGCTCCCACCTGCTGCCTGGGCGTCAGGCAGGGGTGAGGCAGTGGGGATGAGAGGCCATGGAGGGCAGCAGCGGCAAAGGGCTTCTTGCTGTATTCAGCTCGGTTTCTGGGCTTACAGCTTCTGACCTTGGGTACATGCAGGAGCCCAAGGTGCAGATCTGTTCATTATTCAGGAAACGAGGATTCCAGCAGCCACCCGTGAGCATAAGTGGAAGGAAGTACGGAAGGTTCTTGCCACACAGGATGGCACTCCATCAACACAGGCCCCACCCCGCCCCACCCCTCCGTGGCATGAGACAAACCAGCAATTTCGTATCGCTCTGTTATGTGCCTCTGCTTGCCCGAGTGAATGTTCTTCCAGAGCCTCCTAAGTTTCTGCTCATTAAAACAAAACCGATGCTGGCAATCTGCAAGCGCACACACAACGTCGATGCCTCCACCCAAGCATTTAGATGAGATGCCGCCCACTCTGCAACTTCAGCAGTCCCGCCCCCAACTCCCTGCTCCCCCAAACACGAACCCTAATGTCACAGTCCATACCAAAATCACCCGTGATATGTTTGTCTCGACTACCAGCTGGCAAATGCCCAACCCTAGGGACTGTACTCAGTCTGCTGGAGCCCAGACCTGAGCCCAGTACCTGCTCTGTGAGGGACATGCTTGCTATAATGCCCACCGCAGAGAGCTGGACAGGAGCTGCCCTGGTGCATCTGTGTGTGCCCTGCTTCACTGCGTGCTTTTTTACATCACAACACATGACATACGTGCTGGTAAAGTGCTGTCAGCACCCTGATTCTTCCAACCCAATCATGGCAAATAAACGTTCCCCTTTTACCACATACCAAGACTTTCCTACAGTATTAATAGGATGTTTAAAAATAGACCTACGCCTGAAACCCTTTTTGTTTGTTTGTTTGTTTTTGCCATTGGGTGTGTCCTCTTATCAGAGAGAAACAGAGAGAGGGAAAGTGAGAAATTATTCCCCCCAAGGGATGGTTGGGGGCGTGGGGTAGGGTGTGGCTATGCTGCAATCCCTTTACCTCCATTCTCTTCCTAGGATTTTGGGCACACACACACACATACTCCACATGATTTTCAAGCTACAGGTATGGAGCTCAAACCACTGCTGGCCATGTGGGAGGCCAGTGTCTTCACCACCGCACCACCTGCTGGCTCCTAGGACACTTTTATTAAGAGTAAATTCCACAGGGAACACTCACGAGCTACTACCATGTAAAGAGCATTTATTGTGCATCCGCCACCAGGCTCCATACTTGCAGTCTTCTCTTTAATCCTCACACCCAGCTAGTGAGAGTGTATCAGCCCCATTTTACAGATGAGAAGACTAAGGCACAGAGACGTTTGCTCTTGGTTTGATGGCTAATCAGTGAACTGGATTCCACTGTGGCCTCCGAAGGATCTGTTCAATCTGTCATCTTCCCATCACAATTCTGGGAAAAGACTCTAGGGGCTGCCACGGAGGCTTAACAAGGGAGAGACGTCGAAGTTAGGGGACAAGAGGGAATACTTCGGCAGAAGTTCAGGCTTCAGAAAAAAAAAGGGCTATCAACGACAGGCAGTCATAGATGAACAGAAGCATAATTAGAAGTCTGCTACCTGGAATTCTGCCTGAGGCAGTTTTCCACCCAGCTAGCACCTGCCGGTAACTTCCACACTCCTGCACAGAACGAGCCATTCCCAGGCCCTTTGCATTCTCAGAGGAAGAAGTCAGGAGTACTCCGCGAGCCAGGCGCAGAAACAGACCACCCGTTCCCAGTACACCTGTCACGCCTTTCGAATAAGAAGCGCCTCACTCTTAGCTTCATTCCTTCCTGTTCCATTAGTGAGGCTAGTACTGCGTGCCATTTTGGGCATCTGAAGTCTCCCACGTGGACTTAGAGATCTCTCCCCCGACTGCTCTCTTTGCATTCAGGTTCCCCATAGCACCAGTAAAATTCAGGACAGCAGACAAGTGAGGTTTGCTGCAGAACGCTGCAGACACACTCCACTCTGCATTACCCGGGAATTACATTTCTCATGACACAGGGAGAAACAAAGGCCCAGACAAGGCTACTTTAAAAAAAGACAGGCCAGATTGGTGAGAGCTGAATGCAGTTGTGCAAGACAATGCCTGCCTTCTCCTCTAGGATCGGAAGTGAAGTGAGTGCAGGGTGAAAAAGGAAACCACTTCCACCTCCTTACCAAATGCAGTTCCGACCCCAAATATTAGATTAGCACTTGGCAACCTCCTCCTGCCAGCGGGATGGAAATCTGAGTCCTTTCTGAGAGCAGACCATACCTGAACAGCAAGGCTAAAATCACAGGTCAAAGTCTCTGGCCAGAAGTCCTTGCTGTCTTGTAATGGTCATCTTCCTTGTCCTTCTGGAAAATAACTGGCTCAAGCCCAGAGAATCAAGGCAAGTGGACGACATTTCTAGTCTGATGTGGCAGGAAGAGAGTTTTAAAAGCTGCTTGGGGAAAGCCATGTTCCCTTTAAAAGAAATCAGCACATTTTCAGAACTCAACCCAAATTCACTGTCATGGGACCCCGGGAAACACTGACGGATGGGTCAACACATAGGACCTAAAGCCTGGAGACAGAATTCCAGCCAAGCTCTGCTTCGAACAGCTGGACAACCACAGCAACCATCTCTTCTGCCTCAGTCCATCATCTGTCAAATGAGTTTCTTTGGACCAGCAGGTAGAATAGTGGTTAAGGTGTTGGATACTCATGGGGTCAATGGTAGTTCAAGTCTTGGACCCTGTGCCTTGAAACTGATGCCAGGCATGTGTGCCCAGAATCCCAAGAGGAGAATGGCAAAGGGACTATATAGCATGGCCAGCCCCTTGTGGGGGGGGGAGGGAAGGGGGTAATTTCTCACTTTCTTTTTCTCTCTGTCTCTCGGACAAACACACATGCCTTATAGTAAAATCTCTCACAAAAAAGTGTTTCTCAAACTCACACAGTGTTGGAAAGACCCAGACATATGTTCATAGATATGTATATATCAACTACACTTGCTATTGAAAGTGTTTAGATTAATTAATATCTTTTGTGAATCAATAAAATGTGGGGGGGAAAAAAGGCACGGAAAGTAACTGTGGATACAGAGGCAGCATGACTGGGGGGTGGGAAATGGCAGAGGGTGAATTAGGGAATCAAAGTGTGGGAACAAAAGCAAAATATAAGAAACAAGAAATGGAAAATTATTTGTTGATGATAACACGTATGGCAATATCCTTGATTGAGCCAATATACAGTGTATTCTGGATGGAAAGTCTTACTTTGGGGGGCCAGTAGGTGGTATGGTGGTTCAGATGCTGGAATTTCCACACGGCCGACTATAGTTCGAGTCCCGGACCCGGCGGCTTGCTTTCTCATTCTCCCTTCCTCCCTCTCTTTCTCTCTGTCTTTCTCTGGCAAAACTCATGTGAAAAATAATAATAATAATAAAAAATTAATTAAATGAATAATTCTTTTTAAATCTCATTTTGTATACTGTAACGATGCACAGTGAATGAATGTAAATACATAAATACACACTATACCTGGCATTTACCCTCCGCATACTGTGTTTCTATATCCTTTAGTCAATCAGTTTGTCATAGAGTGTGAACCTTTCCAATAATATATGAGATTTCATTTTCCAATAAAAGTCATTAAGCATCTGCCCTAGGCCCAGCAGCCTTCCAGGTGTTGAGGAGGCAGTAAACAATGCTTGGTTAAGTGTGAGATGCACACATGGTGGGGGCATGACTAACAAAAAGTCCTTTTCCCCAGGAGCTTATCCCCAATGTCATCACAGCCAATTAATAATCGTGCTGTTTACCAGGCTCATTAAAAAGGCAGGGGTGGAAACACAACTGCATATTTCCGAGTAAAGGAAGCCAACCTGCAAGGGCTGTCTACTGTTTAATTCCGACGATAGGATATGCTGGAAAAGGCAGAACTATGGAGACGGGCAGATCAGAGATTGCCAGGGTGTGGGGAGAGGGAGGCATATAGACCAGCTCAGAGGAGTTGAAGGCAGTAGAAATACTCTACGATGCGATAATACGGGCACATGTCATGACACTCAACAGACAACACGAAGAGTGACCTCTACCGTGAACTACGGTCTCTGGCTGCTAATGATGTGTCAACGCAGGCTGGCCGACTATAAAAAATCTATCATTCTGGTGGGAGGGAGGCTGGCAATGGGGAAGGCTATGTATGTGTGGAAGCATACATGCGGAATCTTTTGTTCAAGTTTGCTTTCAACTCTAAAACTGTCCTGGTTTCCTCATCTGTAACATCATGGGCTTCTAGGAGTGATTCTAGGGGACCAGAGCATATCGAAAGGAGGGAATATAGTGGTTTTAAACTCTGGATGGTAAGCCAAAAATCAGATCTAATGACCTTCCAGACAGGGATGATGAAGGAAGGACTCCCCTCCCCTTTACCACCTAGAATATACTTGGGGACTTAGTCCAGGAAACTCTTGACCAGCAGGAAATTCTGAGCTGGCTTTCTGCCAACGAAGAGTAAGGCCTATGGAGCTTTGCACCCCCATCAGTCACAGGAACAGAATGGCCCAGGAGACTGAAAGCCAGCAGCATTTATTGACAATTTCACCCCAGGGGCCTTGACCAACCCAGTAGTATCTCTAACTGCCCTGACTTGTTTTCTTTTCTGACTCCTTTCTCAATAAATAGACATTTCTTAATATAATGTCACAATGGGAGCAAAACAGACCTTGAAGTTTTAGAGGTCTTAGGGTTTTTGATTTTTTTGTAATTAAAGAAGAAATCACTTGAAAGCTGTACAGGGTCTAAGTATTCCGATGTCCAAGACATCGAAGGCCCTGCTCACGTGATGTTCTGATCAGAAGGCCGCTCTCAGCTGGGGTCCTGGATTTCCCAGAAACATGGGAACAAGGGGCCAGGGTCCTGTCTTTGCTGCTGGTTACCACCAGAGTTTGAAAACCTTAAACCCATGCCCCTGATGAGTTTCCAAGGGACAAGTCAGCAACTCTCCCATTTACTGTCCCAGCAGGTGGCCAAGGGGGGACTCTGGAGGAAGAAGTGCTAGAAGCAGGGCGGGTCAGATAAAGGGCACAGGTTGAGAAGAGGGAATTTGTCCCAGCATGTGACTTCATCCTGGTGGACAAATCCCCTGGTCTTCTCATCACCAAAGAGCAAGTCTCTCAGGGCTGCAGGCCCCTCTTGGGTTCTGCTTGCAGGAACTTCGCAGAGGGCACCAGGCTGCCTAGGAAAACTCCACGGGTCACCTTACTATTCCTATAATCCTGTAAAGGGAAGTTGGGGAAGGCTGAGCATGGCCCCCAATTTTTTTTTAAGATTGATTTATTTATTTCCATTTATTATTATTTTTTATTTGAACAGAGAGAGATAGAGAGAAAGGGAAAGTGAGAAAACAACCCGCCAGGTCCGGGACTCGAACCGCGGACAGCCATGTGGGACTCCAGCGCCTCTTTAAACACCACACCACCTGCCGGCCCCGAGCCCTCTTCTGTGGACACTAGGGAAGGGGGCCCCGCGACTCGGGTTAGACATGACTATGCCCTTCTCCACCCAGCACCAAGCCCCTACCCCCTTACCTGCGTCCCGCGCACCTCACCTGGGAAAGCGTGGGCTGGCGGCCCGCTCCGCTCCCCAGACGCCCGCTGGCTAGCCCCTGGCCGACTGCGAGGGGGTGTCTGGGGGTGCACGCCGGTGCGCTCTACCCACCTCCCCACCCCGGCACCGACTTCCCGGAAACGTCGCGTCCAGGTGGGCTCTGACAATGCCGAACAAAGCCAGGTCTCCAGGGGCCGCGCAGTTGCTGTGCTTGGGCCGGGGCCCCTCTCCTAGCTGCGCCGGTCGGTCTGCAACCGCCCCGCGGAGGCTGCTAGCGGGCACCCGGACGCTACTGCCCCCCGAGAGCGCGGACCCAAGCTGGGGCTGTGACTCACCCGGAGGAGCCCACGGCCAGAGCCCAGGCGCCAAGGTCCCTGGTCGCTGGCGCAGGCTCGGCTCGAGCCAGGGGGCGCTGAGGACCGCAGGAGGGGCGCCCCACAGGGGTGGGGGTGGGGATGGCAGCTATGCGGGGCACCTGTTTGTCTTCCCCAAAAGCGGAGACGGTGGCACGGCGACCCCGCTGAGGTGCTGAGGTCGGAGGTGCTTTTCCAAGGGAGGGGCCACAGAGCTTCTAGGCACCAGGCCGGCCTCGCCCCTCGCGCTGCTGCACACGGTTGGGCACAGTCAACAACGACCTTACTGCACTTACTTCCTCGGGGCGGTGCAGGGGCGTCCTGTCCGTCCGCGGTCTAGCTCCGACCCAGGCGCAGAGGCTGACTTGGGCATCCTTTCTGTTTGTCAGGGCAATCGCCTTCCGTTTACCTGTCTGTCCTGTTACTGCAATTGTTCAGTCAAGTGCATGCCTAGTTTTTAAAATTCAAACGGCAACAAGCAAAAGAGCACAATGCTCTGTACATCGTAACTTCTCCATAAACGCTATTCTTGTATAATCTGTAATTTTCATATTTCATCAAAAGTGTGCTCATTGTGGGACCAGCAGTTAGCGTAATGGTTATGTCGCTAAACTCCCATATAGCCTACCGCGGTTCCAGTCCCAGACCCAGTGGCTTAAACTCACGCCGGGCGCGTGTGTGTGCGTGCCCAAGATCCCAAGTAAAGAATGGAGGAGAAGGGATTGTGGCATGGCCACCCCCCCGGGGGGGGGTGATTTCTCACTTTCTGTCTCTCTGTCTCTGTCTGGCGAGCACACGCACCCAGAAAAAAAATAAAAATAAAAATAAAAGTGTGCTCATTGTAAAAAAAGAAAATGCCAGTAAGCATGTTAGAATTACTCCTATGCCTCATCCCGAGATATTCACTGTTAACATCACAGTGTGATCTTCCGATGTCTTGGTACCCGATCAAAGGTGTACATTTCTAAGTTCATTCCATAATCGCACATAACCCAGGCTTTCCACTTCAGTTTTGAACATCTTTCTGGTTTTAGCCACTACATAATGTTCTAATGTATTTAACCTGCGATGGTTGAACATTACACTTTAAATTTTAATGATGCAATTAAAGTCTCTTTGGCCTTTTGCCCAATTACTTCCTTGAAATAAACTTCAAGAAGGTAAATTTCTAGGCTTATAGAGTATATATAATTTAAGACTTCTGATGCATATTATCAAACTGCTCTTCAGGAAGGCTGACCCATTTCCTCTTTTCCATGCCATTCCCCATTATTCTTTTTAAAATTATTATCATCATAATCTTATTTATATTACATTGAATCACATATAACTTTACAGTGTAAATACACAAACAGCACTTTTAACCCTGTCGTTTTTAAAAATTCAAAAGTGGTCCATTTCAGTTCTCAGCAAGTTCACAACTATTTCAACACTGTTTTCAGAGAAAGTGGCTCATTTTAACTTTAATATTGCAAAGACTTCACTGAAGGGGGAGAGGGTTAATTTTTCCCTTCATTCTTCTTAGGAGCACCTACTGAACACTCAGCAGCCAAACAGGGCCACACCAGGGATGCATAAGTAACCTGCCAACACAACAGCTCTTGGAGAAACTTGTCTGTTGGGGGATCCTTCTCTCTCCCCTTCAAAAAATTAACCTTTTGTTCTGAGGTCTGAATACAGGGTATAGGTGGTCTCTGCCTCTAAAAGAGCACTGTCCCAGAAAAAAAGTGTGATTTTAAATATTAAAAAAAGAGAAAAGCAGCAGGTGCACTAAATTTTATTATTAACCTTGTGAAACCAGCTTTCTCAGTGGCCATGTCAATAAACACATAGGAAACCAGAGTTTGCTCGCCCTGGGTGATGTGCCCTAAACCCTGGCTCAAATAAACTACTTTTATTTCACTTCCTATGCCTCAACCTGCTTCTTAGGTTAACAGGCCAGAATCCGAATACCAGCTGAACACGTCATCAGTGTACCAGAGCTATGTTGTACTAACTCCCTGACATCCTGTCGTGTTTCACGCTCACAGCACGTCTCACTTTGCACTGGCCACATCTAAGTGCATGATAGCCGCATGTTAGGTAAGTGGCCTGTGCTGATCCATTCAGAGGAGGGATCCCAGAAGCAGACCCCAGGTTCTGTTACAGTAGAAACTCGGCCTCTGACAGCCTTCTCCCCGGACCCCTTACGCTGGCTGTTCAGTATTTACCAGCACATTTTTGGCTAATCAGATTCACCCTGGAGAAGCCAAATTTCAATCCTAGGGCTTCCTGACATTTTTGGTTGTCTTTAATTGAGGGTATTTCACAAGTTAGTTCTGTAATTACAAACTGGGAGAGACACTGGTCATTTCCAGCTCCTTCACGGTGTAGTACAATGGGCCTGTCCTAGATGCCTGAGGCCTCACCACCAGGTGTGCCTGTGGGAGGAGGCAGGCAGGGGCCCCCGATCTGGGGAGTGCCGAGTGGGTGACCAGCAGCGGTAGAGGCAGTACAGAAAGAAACTGGGCATGCATGAAAACACGTCCTTGGTTAAAGTTTACGGGAATTTAAAAACTAAAATTATAAAGAGCCATCAGCCAAAAGGGCTTGCGAGTACCTTGGAGCTCACGATTTGGCCTTCATCTATGCAGTTTTACCTTCACTGTGTACAAGTTTTAAATTGAATTAATTCACTAATCACCCTACATGGTGTTTCAGTGGTAAGATGACTTTGAGTTCTGTGCAGAGAGAAGTGGAGACTTAGGGACTTGGAAGTACTCATGGTGAGGCACCCAGTCTAGTGGAATGACAATGACCTTGGAGATGAGGGGTTCTGGGGCTCCCCACCACCTTTCCCATTGGTTTGGTAACACAAAGCTTAGCTTTGGGCTGCTCAGGTCCCTGGCCTATAAAGGGTGATGAGTAGACAGCTCCTAACCCCATGGAACCCCGGCTCAAATTCTTTGTATCCAGTCCTCCAAAGGATGAAGGCCAGGTAAAGCACGTAAGGAAGGAAGAGATGCAAAAGAAGATACCTGACAGTGCGGCGGAAGGGGTGTATTTCCTCGAATCCACAGAACAGCTGTTACCCAGAGCCCTCCTGTTAAGAACAGGAAACAATGACTATTAAATTAAACGGAAAAAAAAAAAGATCAAAGGAAACAAAGGCCCATTCTTTTGAAAAAAAAATTTTTTTTTAATTTTAATTTTTAATTTGACCAGAGAGGGACTGAGAGAGAGAAAGTAAGAAAGCAAGTTGCCAGGCCCAGGACTCGAACCACGGTCAGCCATATGGGAGTCTAGTGCCCTTAACCACCATGCCACCTGCTGGCCTCACAAATGGTCCATCCTGAAGCACTTTAACAGAAGTGAAGAGAGAACAAAGTTAGGGGAAAGGAGGATAGAAGGGGCAGAAACATCTCAAAGCTGAAGTCCAGTAGGTTTGGGAATAGGTGCCAAGTCCACTGTTCTAAGGGTTAGAGCCTACATTCTTTTTTTGTGGAGAGGTTTTTGCTATAGGGCACGTGCGCTCGCCAGAGAGACAGAGAGATAGAAAGTGAGAAATCACCCCCCAGGGGGGATGGCCACGCTGCATCCCTTCTTCTTCATTCTCCTCTCGGGATCTTGGGCATACACGCACACGTGCCCGGCGTGAGTTTAAGCCACAGGGTCCGGGACTCGAACCGTGGTCAGCTACAAAGGAGTTCAGCGACATAGCCTTTACGCTAACTGCTGGTCCCAGAGCCTACATTCTGACCACTTCTTAAAACAGAAGTCATGTACAAAATGATACTGGACCTGTTTTGGGGAACGTGATGCTCTCTGGCTGAACCATTGGGGAACGTGATGCTTTCTGGCTGAACCAATCACATGGATTGTCTACAAAGGCAAAGGCTTGAGTTAGTCAACATCTAAAACTGCTAAGTACTGTCATCGAAATGCCAATACTGGGCCAACAGGTGGTGTGGTGGTTAAGGTGGCTGGATCGCACACGGTTGACCACATGGTTAAAACCCTGGACCTTCTGCATTGAAAAACACCCTGAGCACACATATAGCTACAATCCCAAGAGGAGACTGGAGAAGAGGTTGCCACATCGCCATCTCTCCTGGGGAAAGATTTCTCACTTTCCCTCTCTCCCCGCAAGCACTTGGGACCTGTAGGAAAAAAACTAAAAAAAATAGTCTATATTTTCCCGTTGTTCCCATCTCCTCTCTGTTACTAGTACCATGCATTTCATGCTTTTCCACACATACACAAATGCCTCAAGCATTAAATGCATTTTGAAAGGAATCTAGGTGCACCCTGGAAGAGGCAGAGTGGGCTTCTGTGGTGGAATGCACACTAGAATCCATCTCATTTACTGGAAGGTTCCCATGACAGGGGTTGGTACTTCATCAAAAGTTTGTCATTTCTAGGCTAATGGCATCATCTCAAGGCAACAGAACAAGCACAGGGAAATGGCCAAGGCCAGGTGACTTGAGTCTCCTCCAGTTCTCACTGTGTGGATGGCAGTAATTTTACTGCTGAGTCTCACTTTAATCCCAGCAAGCAAAATCACCCTACCATTGTTAACTGTGTTTAAAACCACAGGTGGCTTTCTAATTCATTGTTACAAAGTGTGTGCACTTGTCAGAGACCAATCAAAGAGAAATTTCCCCCATCCCTGAGGACATGGCCATGCTACAATCTCTTCTCCATTCTCTCAGGATTTTGGGTGCACACGCTGCGTGTGATCCTCAAGCCAACAGGTCCGGGACACAAATGCTGCAGTTGGCCCTGTGGGATCTAGCTACCTTAACCTCTACAACACCTACTGGCCCCCAGTTTCTTTCGTCCAAAAAATAAATAAAGAAAGAAAGAAAGAAAGAAAGAAATCCCCGGTTCTTTACTATGTATTGAATAACAACTACGTGGTGACAATTCTGACTACAAAACCCCCTGCACCTGTGAGTAACCCATGTCCTCTGGCAAATCCCAGAAGTTTGCCAATTTTGGGCAGTTGCACAGGTGAGCAGCCCAGTAGGAACACTAATGGCTCATTGCTTTTAGTTAGAAGTCTTCCAGTAGTGAGCTTCACAATGGCTTAATTCCTCTCCTGTCATTTGGCAACTTAGGGTCCTGTTGGTAACAATTCTTATCTGTTGGTTTCTGGAGCATTAATTATATAGCGATAAAAATCAATTCCAAAGTAT